GTTTTACATATTTAACCAGAGAGGAAGACATTGTGTCTGCAGGAAACAATCTACGTGTTTAAACAACACTTGTTGAGGGATTTTATTCCTAGATAATTTACATGTCGGTGTTAAGAAGCTTAGATAATGAAAACATTTTTCTAAGAAGGTCAAAAACAAGACTGAGGCTGAGTGAAAAGCAGCTTTTGAACAGAAAGGTTCTGAAAGACTTCCTCAAACGTATCGAGCTCACTGACGTCTGGAATCTGCACCAAGTTTCTGTGCCAGGAATCTGTTGAGAACTGGAATTTTGTTCATTGTTTGGAATCTGTTTAGAGCTGGGAATGTGTTCAGACACCTGTGTAATGAGTTAGAAATATGTTCAGACTCCGGCTCAGAGTCACAGATCTGTTTATATATAAGACATTTCACATAACAATTTTGAATTTGTGCAGAATTTTTTCAGAGTGTGGAATATATTATTAGAGGATCTTTATGGAGTTTGAGTAAAGAAGCTGCTTACAGCTAAGAATCTGCTCATTTCTTCTTCCTTTAAAACAGAAATGACACTGTTTATGAATCATCCTATGCAGATAAACTTAATCTGTCTGCTCAGACTCAAATCTCCTCAAAATCAGTCTGGAGCCTTTGCATGAATCTGTTTAAAGTTCAGATTGATTGGAGTCTGGAGACAGTACAGAGTTGGAAGATATGTTCTTAAATGGGAATCTTTTTTTTTCAGTCAGAACTTTGAGTCTGGAGGAAATCAGGACAGGAAATCAATTCCTAGTTCAAATAGGAAATCTGTTTAGATTTGCTATCTAGGAAATCTAATCAGTCAGCAATGTGCTCAGATTTAGCAATCTGGAAATTGTTTGTTTTTCAGCCAATATTGGTTCTGAGTTTGGAGGTTTTTTTACAGTCATGAATCTTGACAGAGTTAAGAATGTATTTAGAAAGAACGCTTATACCAAAGCATGGAAATCTTCTTCATAGCACCTTAAAAATGTCTTCATCGCCATGACAACATACTCTGAAATCTGGAACAAGTTAGATGAACATAATCTTAAAAAATAATCTCATTCTGACCAATCAGTTCATTTAGAAAATGACCAAATCAGACAGCTGTGGCAGCTGGACAATCAGAGTATTCTCTGTCAGAACAAAGCAGGCGAGAAATCTGAGCAGACCTGAAGCTGATTTCTGTCAATTTCCTAAACTGCTTTAGGCAAAGAATAAATAAAACCCTAAGCTGCGTGACGGTGGCTGGTCATCTGATGTCACCTGCTTTGCATGAATGTGCACTGATCCAGAGTGAGAAAATTGCCTGCCTAATTGAGCTACTACAAGACATGGCTTTGGGTTATTTGCCGCTGAATTAGTTTTTAATTTCCTCTGTGAGAACATTGTTTGACCTTCATTTTATTAAAGAGGAGCTGCTGGTGTATGTTCATTTGTTTGTTTAGTTTCTACAGATTTCATATTAAACTGAACCACAGAAGCAGCGTAATGGGACTTTAAATGGTCAAACTGTCTCATAATGTGACTTTAATGAGACTTTCTGACGGAGTTATGAGCTTCTCTGATAAACCACAGGCTCTCAGAGGATAGCCGCATCCTCGGCACCTTCACAACTTTAATAGATCAAACACCTGTGAGGGTCTGAGCAGGTAATGAGGGTCTTAAAATAAATGAACCCAGACATTATTGGGGTCTGACAGTTCTTATGTGTCTCCAGAGCTCCTCTCCTGGCTTGCTGCGTCACTTCTTCACCTCCACCTCATTCCCAATTACAGTACCATTTCTCATTTGCCTCAGAGTCGGCTCCCCTGGCCCCGGAGCCGTGGCCTTGCCTGGTGATGATGGAGGAGATGAAAACAATCAGATGAGACAGAAAGGGAATTTTAATTACGACGTTAGTGTTATCTTTGGAAAAGTTGAAATATCCTTTCAAGTTAAAGGTTCCTCAATGGAGGTTGATCCTCCTTCTTTAGGAAATCGGCTCTACCAGACACTCACAGGGTTTCACTGTGTTCGTCTCTCCCCATGTAACAACAGAACAATGACGTGAAATATGCTGTTACTACCGGGAAGCATGTCAGTCTGCAGCTTTGCAGCAGCTATGAGCTGAATTACTGAGATTGTGGAATAGGTCTGGATTAAGTCTTTCTACTCTACAGCTATCAGTGGAATACAGTTTGTAATCACCAGTTTTTTATTTTTTTTATTTTTAAGTGTATTGTTCACTGTCTTTTATGTTCAGACGTGATGTAGATGTAAGTGACTCAGATGTTGAATATAAAGGAAGGTGTTGTGGTCATTATTTGTGATGGAAACGAAAGAGAAAATTTAGGAAAATGTTGGTAAATTACAGTGGATATCGAAAATTTGAATGATAATATCACCGCTTAAACTTTTGCCAATACTGTGCATCTGTAGTATATTTCCTAGATTCTCTTGATTCAGGACTTCTGTGCAATTTCATCTCCTAGCAGGTCATGGGAAATGCTGAATCTCCTGCTGAGCCTTGTTTTGACTTCTTTCTGTTAAAAGGAAGTTGTTCCTGTTCACTGTTGCCATGTGCTTGTTCAAAATAAAAGAAAGATTGATGCCAAGCCGATGCCTCGATGCAGTCGACTGTCATAATCAGACTTCGAATGGATGGAAATCTGAATGCATAACTCGAATAATCCGGCCTGAATGTTGACTGAAATGGATTTTTAATAACTGGATGTATTATTAAAAATTGCTGTTTGTTTATTGTGAAATATTACTGAACTGGAAGCTCAGTAATATAGTGTTAAAATGTAATTGAAATAAGACAATTATTATCTTTTAAATTCAGAATAATCCAAATTTCCTGAGCAACATCAAATTTTTGTGCAGATTTGGTTTATAACAGCAAATCTGTTCTGTTATTTTTAATGATTTAAAGTTCCTGACACCAGTTTCTAACACAGATAAACAGGGCTGTGAAATGTCTAAATTAACTGTATTGGGACAGGGCCGTCGTTAATGAATCCGAAGCATCCGAAGCGCTCCTCTCCGCTGTCTGAGCACATTCAGGTAATAAAGCCCTGTGAGGGCGTCAAGTTATATTCAGACTGTCCCATCTGCAGCGAGACACAGAGGAGCAAGACTGTTAAATCCTGTAGTGACAATTGGAAAACACCCTGAGCGCTGAAGACAAGAGGAGGACGAATTTTGATGGATTGTCTGGGTCCTGCTGTCTTAGTGAAACGCCTCTGGGGCTGCAGGTTCTGGAAACAGACCAGAGAGTCTGAGCTCCAAAACATCTCAGGGCTGTTAGACCTCCTGCTGCTGAGGAGGCACAGAATCCGAAGGAAGATACAGTGCAGTTTATTTAGACTCGGAGAGATAAACAAACCACTTTATATGTTTGCTTTAATGCATGTTTGAGGTAATTTTGTGTTTTTATTCTTTCTCTATACATATTAGAGACTCGGTGCAGGATTTGAAGAGATCTTATAAGGTAGTAAAAATGTACGAGATGTTATCTCCAGCTTCATCTATCATCTACTAATGAGAGTCGGAGACCCTATGTGTTGCTCCAGCAGGTAATCCATCCTTGCTGATGAGATAAAGTAGTTCAACAAAGACTGAGAAATAAATTCATTGCTGGCGTCAAATCAATGGGCTGGAAGAATAGATCCCTTTGGCATGAACATTCTTACAACTAGTAACGACGTCAATTTTCCCTCCCCTTAGTTCCCACAGAGCCTCAGAGATCAATCACAAGACGGAGGCCTCTGATTGGCCCAAAGGGCAAGAAGCCGTTCAGTATGGAGAGTGTCTTCCTCTGAACGTCCTTCACCGTTAAGGGCATCATTTTTACAACTTTTGCATTTCAATTATGTTTGTCGTTGCATCTCACAATGATTGTATTTGATTCTTTGTTTGAAATTGTGAATCACGGAAAAAGACATTAAAGAAAAAAAAATCAGAGCACAACCGTGAATTGTTTAAGACTGAAATTGAGCATCAAAGCGCGGTGGCCACCAGTATAAAAAACAGATAGTAAAGTCTAATTTTTCCAGTGAGGATGAAGAAGTCAGTAAATCAGTATCTTCAGATATTTAAACCAAAGTCTTAGAGACTTTTTAACTGCAGCCCCATCTTTCATCTGTACTGAATAAATTTGAACTCATCTGCATCACCTACCAGGTTCAGAGGAAACCTGGATGTTTTTTGCATTATTTTTCAGATTTGAGAGGAAGCCCACTTTCTTGGATGAGATGGATGTTCCAAATGTCCCAAACAATCACAAAGAAAGTTCATTGGAAAATAACTTTTCACCAGTCTTCTGGAATCCTTCCTTGCATTTCTGGGAGAATTCCAGTTTCTCTTCAATGTTTATCTTAGACAAGTTTGCTAGAGTTCTTGTCCAGATGGCATTACATCACTCACTTGCTGCAAAATACTAAGCAATTTCTGAAGTGGCCACATCATGATTATCTACAGCACCCTTGTCAGGAGGGAGATGATCCAGGCATTTGCGCTGCCTGCTTGGTCGTCCTTTAACATGTAGCTACGTCTGTCAGCTTGATGATCCCGAAAACAGTCCAATCAACTGGATGAGTTTCTTATATGTGAGGCCAGCTTGATGCAAATTCATTACGGCTGCATGTTGTGTCTTAAAGCTAAGCACTGCTAACACAAGGAGATAGTAATTTCTCTCCCTCTTTGATAACAACCAGCCTGCTAATTAGATTTATACTGTGGGTCCAGCTGGGCACTTTCAAAGATATATACCTCCACTGATGATAAGAGTTTAAAAAAAGACAATTTACTGATCAGTTTGGGTGAAAAATACTGTAAAAATGATTGCATAGTTAGAAAATAATCTTTTAAACTGACAAAACTCTTTGTTATGTATTATGTGGTCACTCTCACACAATAGTCAAACACAAAACCTAAAAGTTCAAAGTCAAAATGTGTGTCTTTGCACAAAGAGAAGTTTTCATTGGCTGAGAAACTGAGCAGGTCGGCTCCAAACAGGAAGTGTAACTGAGTCCCACCCACTGAGTGAACTGGGAGGTTTCCTTACGCAACTTGTCCAGCCTGCTCCACTTCTGCAGAGTCACAGCCAAGAGACAACAGAGCAGGAACACTGTAAGTTTTTTCATGATTTATGACTTTTGGCTTGTTTGCTCCCTAATTGCTTTGTATTTTTTATGAACTTGATGTGGGTCAGTGTATAACTGGGAGTGGGTTCACTGAAGCTTGTTTTGTTTCAAGCATTTGGTGACTGCATTTGCTGTGTGAAGGCAGGTAATGTTGCTGCATGAGGTGTTGACAGTACATGAAAAACTATCAGTCCAACAGCTTTTTACAGCTGAAAGTAACACCCTGCTGCCTCCTCTTTCCACCTTCACCAGGTGTTAATCCGTAGAAATGGCCACACTCATGGAAAACGAGGTATTCAAGGCTTTTGCCTCCTATGCTGCTATTGTCACACTCAAGATGATGCTAATGGGTCCCGTGACCGTGTACTTCCGCTTCACCAGAGGGGTAAGTAACACAAATGGGTTACTGTCCTTTTAGAACAGTTTCTTTATTTTAAGGTTTCAAGTTTTACCATTGGAATCTGCACTTACTGATTGGTCACAATGGTTTGTGAGATGATACTAGTATTTCTGCAAACCAGTCGGTCCAGTCTGCTGTAGTCCAACGTGTCCAAACAAGTTATTCAGCGCAAAAGTTTCAGAACTGAAGACCAATAACAAACTTCCTTTGCCCCTTCTTGCAACAGTTTCAACTCAAAGTGCGCTCTCCCGTTTTTCTGATGCTGGTTCTGGGATTCCTGGAATGCAGATTCATTGAAATATGTGCACATGTCGTCTCTCCTTTCAGTCCTTCTCCAACGAAGAAGATGTTGCCAAAGAGACTAACGAGGAAAAGAAGAAGAAGATGCTGAGAGCTCATCCAGATGTGGAGCGAGCTCAAAGGTGAGACGCTCTACCTTTTATACCAGCTTTGGCTCTTGACTGGAATCTTGAAGTCCCTCATGTTGAATGGGTGGAGGAAGGAATGTTTTCTGTATAAAACTCCAACACATTAAAAAAAAAGTCAATAAAACAAACCTTTCATCATGTGTCTGTAATACTTTGATTGCTTTAATCCCAGGGTAAAAACCTGGATGGTTTTAAATGCACACGCAGACATCAGGTCAACATGGCTGATTTGGTTAAAAGCATTATTTAGGGACTTTATTTTGAATTCTTGCAGGAGTGTGAACCATCCATTCAGTCTCTGGATCAATGTAGCATGAGCTGTGTCAGCGTTTTTGGCTTAAAGGATTTGGGAGGCCAAGGTTTTAAATCTGTGAAGATGGAAAGCTCCCTGCAGTGTAGAAGTGCATCTCAGTTTCAAACAAAAGAGTTCCAATATTTATTTATTTTTTTTCCCATGAATGATATTAAATTGGAGCAGGAGATGGATGTACAGATCAGGGTTCTTCTGCAGCAATGATTTCATTGCTCTGTTTTTTTATTGAGGTAAGGAAGAAGCCAAACTGAACGGTGAAGCTCCTGCTTTTCTCGGCTATCCACTGTGTGCTCCAACCCTTATCTACGGCAATGGAACCTAAAATGTTCCTCCACATGGAAGTTTTCCAAACCCAATGGAGGGACACCCGAGGGCACATCCAGAGCTCCACAGAGGGATTTTAAATTCCTTCTGGTCTGGAAACCCCTCAGGTTTCCCCAAGAGGAGCTGTACGGTGCGAGTGTGGAGAGGAACGGCTGGGTTCTCTCCAGAGCATGTTGCCTCTGTGATCTGACCTCCATTAAGAGAAAGGCGGGAATGATTATTTACTTTAAGAATACTCGGATCATTTGTTTGCATCCTACTGGGATTAAGATGCCACTACTGAGAAACTGATACTTTTAGACCATGAGTGACTTATGAGATGCATTTGCATCATTCCAAAACATATTTCAGGTGTAGTATTTTCAGATATACCTTTGGACAGTTTGTTTTTAATCATCATTTTTGCAGTTACTGTGACTTTGATTTTGCTGACTCATGCAGATGTTTGTAGAGGGAGCAGCTTGTGCATTTTCTGCTTCCATTTCAAAATGGCTCTCTTATATTATGCAACAGGCCATTAAAAACACCTGCCAATGCATACACACCAGGTGTGTTAATGACATATTTGGCAGCTCCTAAAAATCTGAGCGTTGGAGGACACCCTCCTCTGCCTGTTGGTGTTCCTAGTTTAACACATGATTTCCTCCTTCCTGTTTGAGAGCCTCACAGTGACCTGTGGAGCTGGCACTGTGTGTCATGCTCGTTGTCACCTCTGATAAACAGACAACACACCACTCTGCTTGTGTTTGTCCCTCGGGGGAACAGGTTTGTGTCTGACAAACCAGTTTCCGACAGTAAAACACAGATGTCACATCTACAGATCGCATCAGGTATCGGCCGTTTGCAGTAGACTCCCAGAAAATATGCAATGTTGGCGAAGTCTTCCTGTAAAGGTTCATTTCATCTTATAAATTGTCCTGAGTGTTGAAGAAAAAGTACATTTCCGACAAAAAGGACATCAACCGCCATTACCAGATCCTGCTACTACTTCCTGAAATGATAAAAGATTTGCTCCTGTATGCAAACCCTTTGTAAATGAAATGCTTGAAAATAACCTGGTATCTTGGAAATATGTATCACTTTTTTTTTCTTTTTTTTTTTAATCCTGCAGGTGTCACCACAACGACCTGGAGAACATCATTCCATTCTTCTTCATCGGTCTGCTTTACGCCCTGTCTGGACCCAAACTCTCCATCGCTTTGATTCACTTCCGTGTATTCACAGCCTCTCGGATCTTCCACAGCTTTGCCTACATCCTGGCCTTTCCCCAGCCCAGTAGAGCGCTTTCCTACTTGCTGGGAATGTTGACCACATTTTCCATGGCCTTCAACCTGCTCATTACAGTTTTCGTCCTGTAGGAAGCATAACACCCTCACCTTCCTGCATGAGAGTTCTGTGATTTTTCTGTGTCATTGCAGCTGACAGACCCTTTAAATATTGGGGTTTTTGCATAAGAAAGAGCAAATAAAGTTTTCCATTGACTGAGTCATCATTTCTCCCAATAATGAAAAACTCAGAACACAAGTTAATGACAGTAATAGCTGTGAATAATGCATACATGTAGAGCTGAGAGCGTAAAATTAGCAGTGGGAAGAAAACTGCTTAGAATGTCTTTGGTAATCTCATAGTTTGCTTGTTGGGAAAACAGTTTTGGGTGTGAAGCGCTCTGTTTGCAACACATGGAAGAAGCAGATCTTTGATATGGTTGAAACTTGAGTATTTAGCAGTTTGTACTTTAACATTTTATGATTGGCTTTATCAATCAAATTTTATTTGTATAGCACATGTCAGCGGCAAGTCATTTCAAAGTGCTTTATATCATGTGACATTGAATAAACGGTAAGAAAAAGAGAGATTTTAACAAAAAAAGATTGGAATTTGAAAAAAAGATCCAGTTTTTAGTGAAATCGCCATTTGACAAGGACTCTAAACCTCCAGATTTAGCATGTACTTTTTTTTTCTTCACAGAATTAAAATAGTTCAACCTCAAAGTAATCTAAACTATTTTATTTGTTTTTTTGTTTGAGTTTTTTGCATTACTCATAGAGTGGACACCTCTAATTTTGGCAGTGTTGCTCAAGTGAAAAATTATGCCCATGCCCATCTGCCCAACCCTGTGGTACCCCATAAGTAATTATGATGTAGAAACTTGAAAAAACTGAACTACTTGAGAAATATGATCTAAATATGATCTGCTTTATCAAATGTATGGATACAGAATACAAACCAATTTAAGTTTAAAAGAAGACTGTGTTGATGATTTTAAATATTGTTTTTCTATCTAGTGAAAAGTGTCAGCAGTAAAGAAAATAAGGTCCAAACTTCATTCATCCATTTGAAGTTGAACTTTGCTCTCGTTTTCACAACTCACTGACAACCATAATGGTGCTCGATCCTGATAAGCTCTGAACTGTAAACAGGATTCGCCGTTTCTTGTAGAATGCTTTTACAGAAAAATGCAACTTTATCTGTGAATTAGATGTTTTTTTGTTTTTTTTGTTGAGATGTCTGCGTGGTTATCTCCATGTTTGTATGCTGTAGCTCGCTGGCTTTGTACAAGTTGCTCCTGGGTTTTAACCTTTATCTGCTCTGCAACTGACTGATGGGTGGGTGTAGGGCGCATTCATTTACTCTGTCTGTGATAAGACTTTTGGCACAATTCATATCATGTAGTAGCAGAACATACAGAGCTTATGTCTTACTTAGCTGTGCTTAAACATTCTGAATCCTCAGAAATGTTTCCATAGATTTATCTTAGCAAATAGTCTGATATTTTTCAGGTAATGGCCTCAGTCAGGGGGATGTCAGCAAAATTAATCAAACAACTTAAATCACAACAAGAGCAAACACTGTGAAGTAAAACCTTCCAGAACTAGTCATGCTCATTAAACTTTTAGTCTCCTCATTTTCACACATTCCAACCACAAACTATTTTATTGGAAATGCAGGTGGTAAAGTAAAAAATGAGCAAGATTACAAGGTGGAATGAAAACCACACATGCTTTTTTAAAATAAAGGTCTGAAAAGTTTGGCATGCATTTTATTCAGTAAATAGTATTCAGGTGAACTGCTTACAATACAACCACTGTTTGCTGCAGTTGCAGCTGTAAGACCTTTGGAGTTCTTATCTGCATATCTACTGACTGAAATATTCGCCAGTTTGTTTTTGAGAAATATGTCTGCCTCAAGCTGAATATATTTTTTTAAGTGTTGTTAGATATTCCTGATTGGATTTAGCTCAAGACTTTGACTACACCATTCTAATACTTTAATGTGTTTTCCTCCATTGCAGCTCTAGATGTGTATATATTTATGATTAATGGCTTCTAGCCACTTCCCCATAAAAGTCAGATTTTCAGAATGCCTGACTATTAACAGTTTCATGACAAATTCTTCTGCATGTCCGTATGCTTGATTTTTTTTTCTGATGATTTACACAAACTCCACCAGATTTCCTAAACTTGTTTTAATGATCTACTTCCCTTTAAACCTCTTCACAACTTCCTTCGCGATTTGTCACACATCACCTCTAACACAACCTTTGAGACCTTCACAAACAAAGCTTGATTTATATTACAAATAAATCACACAAGTGTACGGTATTTACTAGTTAGGTGACTTTTGAAGGCAATTGGTTGCTTTGGACTTTATTTAAGAGTGTCAGATTAAATAGGGCTGAATATAAACGCATGCCACACTATTCAGATTTTAATCTAATAGTTTAAATTACTCAATCAAAGTCCCATTAAAATACTTTGAAGTTGTAAGGTGACACACTTCAAGGGGAATACTTTTGAAAAAGCTGCATCTGCAGCTACCTGTTCATATCACCATGGTAACTGACTCTAAAACATGGCGAGCGTTATAGGTGGTTTCTGATCAAAAGAGGATGTGAAGCTTTGGGTGAAAACAATTTGTGCTGCAGAGCAACAGATTTGCATACTGTTCCACAGCTCCCCCCTCCTCTTACTGTTTCCTCTCATTAATTCAAAGGCTGATCAGGGCTGAGATGGTTTACCACCCTGTTAGGAGCTCGCCTTAAGCCAAACTGTTTGACTAACTGCTGTTGACCTAATGTTTATTTTCCACTGACAAAACAGAAGCCTTGTTTCCCAGGAAAAGTTTTATTTCAAATAGCTTTGAGCATGGATTTTCTTTTAAATAAAATGAAATTGACCAATGAGACTCCTGTAAAACAGCTCACCTCTCTGAGATCTATGAAGGATCCCCAGCAGTTCTGCTCAGTGGGAAATTATGCTCTGCTGTTCAGAGGAAAGCCATAAAACACTTCTGATTATCGGGAGGCCAAATGAATTGCCTACACCCCCACCGTTTCTCTGCATCATCGGAGTGTTGGTGGCGATAAATAACTTATTGATTTGATTGAGCTGAAACATGAGAGTCTGCACAAGCCCCGAGCCATATGGATGTAATCGAAGCAGCAGACCACATTTGTCTTGATTATGGTCCATTTGGTCCAATAAGGAACAGGTAGCTGCAGCGCTGTTTGTCTCAGTCTCAGCAGGGGAACATGGAATTTACTCTTTTGTTTTGGCCCTTCTACCATATTTACCAGCCAAAACTGCTAATTTTGGCGATTGAATGTAGTGTTAAAATATCATCGGCTCAGTTTGTTTCAGCTCTGCACTTCTTCTAGTTTTTATTTTGCTTGTTAGTATGGTTCCTCTTCTGGATATCTTACAGCATGTTACTCCAATCTGTCGTGGTGAAAAAGGAGCCAAGCTGAAAGATGACGCTCTGGATTCAATAGTCCATCTATGGTTCGACCCTCACCATTGTTCATGAGAAATGGATCATGAGTGAAATGTGATTCTGGATAGAAGTGGCTGAAATGAGCTTCCTCTGCAGGGTGGCAGGGCTCTGCCTTGAAGATAAGGAGCTGCATCCTATGAGAGAGCCTCATCTGAGGTGATTAACTGTGATCAGAATGGCTCCTGGATGCCTACTGGAGGTTCCCCAAGCACACTCCATTGGGAATAGCACCAGGAACAAACCCAGAACCCACTGCAAGAGTTATGTGTATGTTCTGGCCAGAGGCCACAGTGGATGCGAGATGCTGCTGCAGAAGAGAGGGATGTTTGAGTTGAATGGCATGGGATGCTCCAGGTCGGTGGGGAGTGTGGTCTGAGGTTTGCTTCTTTGTTGGTTTGGGGAGTGTTGAACTAAACCAGGGAGGCAAACAATAAGAGAATGAAAGCAGTTACCTGAAGCTTAATCTACACGTAGGCAGATATCTAGGAAATCAAATAAATGTGTATGTGTTTTGACCTTTCATCCACAGTAAAACTCAGTAAAAATTATTATTTATAAAAACTTCCACCAAAGAGGAGATTTTAGAATTATTTGTGTCTGTGTGTGTAGATGGGAAAACAGAGATTTGGAGTCCCATGCATTAATCTGTGACAAGTAATGTGCCGATATATTCACGTACCTGCTTTAACATGGCTCTCAGTCGACATTGTCTTGTCTTTTAATAACTTTATATTCTAATAGGCTATTTAAAAGTAGTTAAATCTATGTATCTGTCTCTACAAAATGACTTTCCTGCTGCCATGTTTAATTCCTAACAAGCAGTCAGATCGGAAATCACCTGCCCTGTGTAGAAGAGTGATGCTTGGCTTACTGACCTGGAGCTGCTATGATGTCACCTCAACTAAACAGAAGGAAATAGATGGATGGATGGTGGATCAAAGGACATTTAAACATTTTTATGAGATGAATTACAAATGAAATTGTCTTTTTTTTCTGATTGCAGGACATGATCTCCTAATGTGAACCATGATTTTCACCTACTTATCACCCAGTCAAATCCAACATCAACAGATGTACACTATATGAACATATGGATTAACATGTAATATGTAGGGCAAACATTCTTCTTAAAATTAATCACATTGTTCTGACTTTATTTAAATACACATTTTAATCTGCTTACACTTTCTACACATTAGGTTTAATGTTTAATGAGGATTATGGTTTGTTTCATTTGAATCTTAGGATTCAAATGTTTGTGTGAAATTGCGCCTAATTTCACACAAACCCTTCGGAAGCTGACGGATCTTTAATTCTGCATTTATACATCAGACTGAGATGGTCTCGGTTAATAAAGCTCAGCTCCTTGTGGATGTTGAATGCATGAGCTGGGGGAACAGAGGGAAGCCTCAATGCTTCTGTTGCCCATGCTGGAAGTTACTGTTGTGAATCTGCTAATTACAGCACGCCCATGCACATGTTGCACTAACGATTAACCTCATAAAGTGTAGCAAAGGGTTATGTGTGCGTTTAGAGCTGCTGATTTTACTGTGAGAGAAGGTCCAGGGTGCACCAGTCTGAGAGGAGATTAAAAAAAGAATCCATCCAACAAAGCCTGGTTTCAGAAAACAAAGGATAGTAATGCCTCAATGAGTAAACAGTTACAAAGTAAATATCTTTATGTCATTTTCATCCTCAGGCCTTTGGACATGTG